AACAACCTGATGCTGGCTGAGATCGAGGAGCTGAGAGCTGCACTGGAGCAGACGGATAGAAGCCGCAAAATCGCTGAGCAGGAGCTGGTGGATGCCAGTGAGCGTGTTGGACTGCTGCACTCTCAGGTCTGCTCAAAGGCTGACAAACAAGAATGTACTTATTTACTTTGTTTCTCTATAATTCAACTGACAGACATTTATTTTTGCTTCTCTAATAATAGAACACCAGCCTCATCAACACCAAGAAGAAGTTGGAAGCTGACCTTGTCCAGATCCAAGGTGAAGTGGATGATTCTGTTCAGGAAGCAAGGAATGCAGAGGAGAAGGCCAAGAAGGCCATCACTGATGTGAGTCATCCAGATGCATTTTTATGTAGCTGAACACAAAGCATAGTGCATAACATGTCAGTGCAAAACATGTACTATAGGCTATTTCTACAATAGGCCTATATCTAGTAATATAAAATTCAACAACATTTCAGGCTGCCATGATGGCAGAAGAGCTGAAGAAGGAGCAGGACACCAGTGGTCATTTGGAGAGGATGAAGAAGAACCTGGAGGTTACAGTTAAGGACCTGCAGCACCGCCTGGATGAGGCTGAGAACCTGGCCATGAAGGGTGGCAAGAAGCAGCTTCAGAAACTGGAGTCTAGGGTAAAGATGAATTTGATTACTAAATCTCATATAAAGTTTTGATTTTATAATCTTGCCAGTAATAGCATACTGTTCATATTGTTCATATTTCAGGTGCGTGAGCTTGAGGGAGAGGTTGAAGCAGAGCAGAGGAGAGGAGCAGATGCTGTTAAGGGTGTCCGCAAATATGAGAGGAGAGTGAAGGAGCTCACCTATCAGGTAGGCAGGGTTTTTATTTCCTATTGATTGGTACAGTTGTCTGATGCAAAGGTGCAAATTGATTAATTTCAATCATGAATTCATGTGCACCACAGACTGAGGAGGACAAGAAGAATGTCATTAGACTTCAGGATCTGGTGGACAAGCTGCAGCTGAAAGTGAAGGCCTACAAGAGACAGGCTGAGGAGGCTGTGAGTCAGAAACGTGTTTCTGCGTTGTCTCTAATACAGTTGCATGCAGTATACACAGAAACAGAAAAATACAACCACACTAAAATGTCTGACAGTAAAAACTTATACATTACCAGGATCAGTAAACCTTTGTATTCTAAGTCTTGATGGATGTTGAATTTCCTCACAGGAGGAGCAGGCCAACACTCACCTGTCCAGGTACAGGAAGGTTCAGCACGAGATGGAAGAAGCTCAGGAGCGTGCTGACATCGCAGAGTCTCAGGTCAACAAACTGAGAGCAAAAAGTCGGGAAATTGGAAAAGTAAGTATACATAAAACTCAGCAGCTGTTTGGATTTAAATGGATACATGACAACATATTTTCTCTGCATCAGTCCTGCAAATTATTTATTTGTTCTTTCCATTTTCTCTTCATTTTAGGCAAAGGAGGCTGAAGAATAATCTGCAACCTCTTTGAGGGACACAAATGAGAATCATATAATATGATGTTTCATTGATCTGCTCTCAGTTAATATTATAGATCTCTAATAAATCAATTCTGTTGTCAGTCTGCTGCCTTTAAACTTTTCTTTGCACAACATAAACAAAAGTACCACTTGATTCATGGGGGACAAACAGACAAAGTGCATGTTAGGTTTCTTGATACACTTTAGGACTGAAAAAACAACAACACTCCTTTGTAGTAGTATTAGTAAGAGCAGCCTTTTTTTAGTAAAACAAACAAACCAGCAAAAAAACCAAACATATGATATTGTGTCATTATTGAATTTAGGTGTCCCGTGGCTCACCCAGGGATCTGAATCTACAAATCAAACTCACTCACTTAAACACAATTTGTCATCAATAGCCATGTTCTTTTTTCAAGTTATCTGCAATATTTTAATTATTCAAAGTAAATTGGCATTGATGGCAGTGTGCCTTAGCATTCACACAGGAAACATTACAGTTTAATTTCACTTAAATATGGCTATGTGTTCAATTGTTGATCATAATCATGAGGATGGGAATAATGTAACATTTTGAGAAATAGGCCTATTTGCTCTAATGCTAAGACTTTGTTACAGGAAAAGATTGGTACCACTTTTACATTGTATAAAAATTTGTAAAAAAAAAAAAAAGAAGAAGCTAAGTTGCTGTTGTGTGAAGCTAAAACATCAACCGAGGCAGTCAGTGGCTCAACAACATGGCCCCCCTTCAAGTCCCAAACAGAGGGGCCTTAACCGCTAAACAAAAGGGGAAACACTCAACACCACGACAGTCCAACAAAATAACAAAAAAAAACGGGACGCGTGTTTGAGCTTTTTGAGCCTCGAACAAATAAAGAGGGGATACTCACGCGTTGTCGTGTCGAGAGAGGGTCTCCGCTTTGTTGCACGCCGTCAACCTTATTCTATATTGTTTTGTTTCCTTGGAGAGAGCGGTGATTTCTTTCCTTTTTTTTTTTTTTTGTGTGTGTGTGTGTGTAGCAAGGCTTGATCAGAGCTGTGAGTTCGCCTGCGCTAGTGCCCCCTCCCTGTAAACAGCGTGAACTACGTTAGACATGCGTATGACAATGTGAATGGAAATGTTCCTTTCCCCCTGTGGTACCTTTTGTACGCCATGTGAAGGCAATATCTCTGCCTCAAGGTGTGTTCAAAGTGTGCTTATAAGCCATCCATCCTAACCATTCGTCGTATTATTTTAAAAAAAAATCAACGCTTTAACACGGTTTCCTTTAAAAAAAAAAATATATAGCTGCATATAAAACATCTTATTCTGAATTTACGCTTATTTATTTATAGCTAATTAAAATGTGTGATCAGTGTTTTACTTAGTAACGAAGTAGCAGATACTAAAACAATTTTTTTTACAGGTATGAGATGTTTTAATGACAAGAATAAAGAAGAATTAAAAAAAAAAAAAACAGTCGCGTAATGCTTCATCATGCAGTTAGATTTGGTTGATTTTTTTGGGGCTGATCCTGGATCGGGTGGGTCCTCGTGGTCCATGACCCTCCTCTACATAAGGAAAGCCCGATGAGATCCAATCACCTCTTCCTCTTCAAACTGTGATCTCACCTCCCTATTTCCGATTGGATTGCTATATTTAGGAAACCACCCTGCGCTTTATAAAGAGATCGCAGTGGTTGCTGGTAAATGTTCTTGAGTTTGGAGACGGGAGCGGCTTTACGGGACAGCGTCTGTCCAGCCCCCATCTAGAGAGTCTATATATATTAATACAAATATAAGAGAGCATGTGTGTGTTTGGATGAGACATTTAAGCGAGAGCTAGCGGAGGGGACACTACAGGACCGGAATGGCAGACATACGCAAGAAACTTGTCGTGGTGGGGGACGGCGCGTGTGGGAAGACATGTCTACTGATCCTATTCAGCAAGGACGAGTTCCCCGAGGTGTATGTTCCGACTGTGTTTGAGACATATGTGGCGGACATAGAAGTGGACAACAAGCAAGTCCAGTTGGCTTTGTGGGACACGGCCGGGCAGGAGGACTACGACCGGCTGCGCCCCCTCTCCTACCCGGACACAGATGTCATTCTGATGTGCTTCTCCGTGGACAGCCCGGACTCGCTGGAAAACATCCCCGAGAAGTGGGTCCCCGAGGTCAAACACTTCTGCCCCAACGTGCCCATCATATTAGTGGCCAACAAGAAGGATATGCGCAACGACGAGAACGTGAAGAACGAGCTGTCCCGGCTGAAGCTGGAGCCAGTGAAAACAGAGGATGGCCGCGCCATGGCCATGCGCATTGGCGCATATGACTATTTGGAGTGCTCGGCCAAAACCAAGGAGGGGATCTGGGAGGTGTTCGAGACTGCGACACGAGCAGCCTTGCAAAAACGAAAAACCCCATCGGGGAAGTGTCTCAAGTGCTGTGTTTTGATGTGAATATCCACGGTGACTGTGGAGAAACCGCGACGCGCAGACGAGACGTTGGAGGCGGGTGGTGATGCTGGGATCTGGGTCTGGACATGTATGGGGGGGCAGTGACCGCGGCTCGGATATTCCCTTTGTAACCAGGTGACCTTGGTGGAAACCAAACAAAGTGACTGCAACGGCAAAAAAAAAAAAAACAGCAAAAAATCACCACCGTTGTTTTGACTCGCACACTCGATGGTAATCTGCTGTCTGCTGTGTGAAACGCACTGGTCACAGCATGTTCTTTGTGTGGGTCACATGCTCCCAGTCTGACAGGTGGAGGGGGTAAAGGGACAAAACCACTACATTGCAGTGGGCGTCTTGTTTACCCCTCCTTCTAACGTGGACATGAGTTTCTTGTTTCCAAAGGCCTGCTTTCAAGCCAGGATTTCAGTTGCTCACTTATTTTTTTTGTTGGTGGTGTTTTTCAAAGTGTTTGCATAGGCCACTGCCTCACTGCAAAAATTGCACTCGTTATTTATGTCCACTTTGTATTGTAAAATGTTTTGGGGGAAATTGCACAGCACCTGGACACTACAGTAATCCACAGAACCTTTTTTTTAAAATAGAAAGTACGAAGTGAGTGCGAGGATGCTCTATGATGTTCAGTAGAGTTTTTCTTCTGTTGTTTTTATTTTTCCGCCATTTTGAGTAAACACATAGCTTAAGTTTACAGTTAGTGACGTCCGTTGCCTCAGGTTTGTTAGTTGGAACCACATCTAGAAAGTAGTGTTATGTTTTCCACTCCTCAGTATTTATGAGTTCAGTAGTTTGTTTGCAGCAGGCCGGATACATCACAGGTCTAAGAGGCTACACATTGGCCAGTCTTGTAAAGGGCTAACCACACTGTAGCACTGTTCAGGTGGATATTGTTACCGTTAAATGTACAAACAGCTTCTATAAATATATATTTTTTTTAATTCAAAGTTTGCTAAGCATGCTTCTACCCCAAATGTTATGCTTGCTGGTGGCTGCAGTGATTCATTCTGGGAGGACATTACTGAGAGTTTTAAACATTATTAAAACAATGAAAGAACAAAGTTACACAGATGCATTGTAGCCTGTAAATAGTACAGCCAGCAAAGGAGGGGAAATATACTTTTTTTTTCCTCCTTAAATCTCACCTGAACCAAATCATTTCAAGCACACACCAGTACCGTGACACCATCTCAGAATCAGGTGTATCTCATATGTCTAAAAAGATTGTGAAGACTCCGCTTGACATTTTTCTTTTTAGCTTCTGCTTCGTTAAAAGTAATGGTTGGTGATATTTCAAAGAGAAGATTGAGCGCGTGAGATGGTTGAATCATGTGATTATTTTGCTCAGTGAATGTTTTCTTATTAAGTATTATGAAAGGAAGAGTGAGTTTTGAGCTCTGTGAGCTCGTAGCACACTCTCACATGGACTTAACAACCAATCTGATGGCAATTAAAAGTTCAGTGATAATGTGTTTATATTCTTAAAACCACAATCATATAAGAAGTACACCAACTTAAACAAAATGGTATTTTTTTTTTGACTAAAACACAAATTCTTTAAAGCTGTAAAACGTTTGTTTACTGCAGTAAAACTGAATTTTGATCGGTGGAGAGAGACAAAATAAAATAGACTTAACTTCTTCCATTATGACTGTGAATGTACCTCAAATTTAATTGGTCAAAAATATTATTATTAATAATAATAATAATAATAATAATAATAATAATAATAATATGTTGGAGCTTTCGAAGTTGGCAACAGAAATCAATGTATTTGAGCTTATTTTTTCATACTTCTGTAATAAATTCAGCTCATGTTTGACCGTGTCTCCACAGAAGTGTTGTGTTGCTGTCCTCTCACATGATGGTGGAAGAGCTTGTTCAAATGACAGCTATGAACATCAATTACAGAGACTGTTGCTACACTGAGTATCCAGGGCAAAAAAAAAAAACCCTGGTGGATTCACAATATGAGTGTTTCTTTACTGATAACCAGAGACAAAAAAAGCTACATTTCACTTTATACATGTAATTTTCCTGTGGTTCAGTAAGCAACCATAATAAGGTGAAATCGGAGTTTAGAAGAAGAGTATCTTTTATAAATCCAACCATAGGTACAATGGTGTAAAAAGTCACATTCCTCCTTCTGTTGCTGGGCTTTTTGCTGACTTACAGGACAGGAATGCATTGTGCTGGACTGGTTAATTTTCCCACACTGGCCCCCCTCATGTGCCTCTGATTTTCAATGTTGTTGAAGGTTACTATTCACTGATCAGACAGTGCAGTTTTTTCCCCCATTTTCTTTATTTTAGAAGAATAAAGTAGGATCGCAGAGAAGACAAATGCTGAAAATGTGCCAAACATATTTATTTGTAAGAGATCAAATTGATAACTGATCACATTAATGTAATGATGTCATTTCTAAGTTTGAATGGTACATGGGGAACAAAGGAAGTTCTTGTTTTTGTGAGGAAAACCAACACAGAATGTAAGGGAACAAGTGGTACTGTTTTGGGACAGTCAATAAAAGAATCAATGTGTGTCACCACCTCTACTTTTCCATTCTTTTGGCTCATTTTCTTACTCTAAAAACTTAACGTGGTGTTGCAGCTGACATTAGTTTCAGCTTGAAAGAAAATTCAATGTATTTATTGACAATTATATGAACTTTTTGCTATATTTAGTAAATTACACCATGCATTGCATTTGTGTTTTTTTTTTTCAGTTTTTGGCAGGATGCATTTACCCATAGAGTTAATATTGGCCCTATGGTCAGTGATGGAAAGTAACTAAGTACATTTACTTACTTTTTACTCCACTACATCTATCTGACAACATAAGTTAGACACTTTGCTGATTATTATTTTACAGACAGAACATATTGTGAGCTAAAGATGCCTGGTTATAGAATTAACTACTTACCCAGCGGTATGTAAAGTAGTTTAAAAGGCTCCACCCCAACAAGTTAGAACATTAAAATGCTGCTTACACATAAATGCATGAATATTTATAATTCAATAATATATTATGTATGATATAATGACAGTCACATAGGACTTTTTTCTGTATTATGAGTTCTTATACTTATACATTTGTATACATTTAGGTGATAAAAGTACTTGCAATGGAGTATTTTTATACTGTTATGTTGTCACTTTGGCTTAAGAGGAGAATCTGAATAAATCTTCCATCACTGCTGATGATTATACATGCCCAATTGCTATCATTGGAAAAATGTATTCATGTATTCCAAAGTACACTCCTCACATTTTAGGACTCAGCTTTATACTATTGTTAACAACTGTCAAACTGACTATATCTGTACTTATTCTCAGTGTTCTGTGATAAGTGAGCTTGTGTGTCACAGAAGCTATTTGTGTCTCTGCTAAATTTAGACCTGAGGATACAAATGATTCATGTGCATATGGCACAAGTGGGTAGGGAGCTTTTTTTAAATTATGCCACATTGTGACTGTGTTCAGTATGTAGTTTATGAGCAATTATATTTGTGTGTTTAAGGGGAAGCAACATTAAAACTAACTAAAGTGCTTCATGTCAGAAGAATGCCAGTTTATAAACCAAATAAAAACACTATTTTGGAGGAACAATGATTCTGAAGACATTTACCAGTCTGAAAATCTGCCTATCATAGTATCTTTCTCTTACACTGTCACTATTATAAGCCTATGAAGAAGTTAGGTCTTCTATTGTTTATATTAAAGAACACATAAGACATGAGCAGAGATGTATGCAGTACAAACTGTCTTTATTGAAGACCACATATTATTTTTTAAATAGTACAAGACACAAAGGGAGCACAGTAGGTCTAAAATAACTGTGAAATAAACAAAATTAATTATGAAAAACAGAATAGAGAGACAAACATCATGGGTACAGACAACACTTATTAGCAGGCAGCTTTGAATTTTGGTAGAATAGATTTACTGTTGTCTTAAACGGTTACACAATAGACACAGTCAATACAAACGCTGTTAGCCAGTTAGTTGAATTTGGCAACAAATGGTAAAGGAATGTTAACCTCCATCTGTCTGTCTCCTACTTTCACAAATGGTTCAATATTTTTACTTTTTTCCTTTAGGGTCTTGATGACATTGTTGTGGAAAGCATTCACACGTTTTACCAATAAGTCAATCCAGGACTGGATGTCAGCTTGAAGCTGTGTACTAGACATGTCAGCCAAAATAGTCTGGAGTTTAGCTCTCACAGCTTTAAGATATTCAATAACAATTCTTTGGGCCTCTTCAACCTGCTCTACAACAACCGCCAGGGCGCGGGAGTTCATGGCATCATTGTATACATCAGTCACAAAGGTGAAGAGTCTTTCTGAGTTCTGAGATTTTAGGGTTTGGAGAAACTTCTCACTTTGTTCAATGGTAAATTGCATGAACGCAGATAATTTGTTAATTATATCTTCCAGCTGAATATCCCCCAGACTCTTCACAGTGACAATCACTTGGTTCTGAATTTTCCTCAAAGCTACAAACAAGTCATCAAGAATTTCTCTTCCACGCACAACATGATTAGAGCCAGGAAGGGTAAATTCAATGGTGTTGATATAATCAATGACTGCTTTAAACATAGAGGTAAAGTACTGTGGAATTTTTTGGACAGCCTCCTCAGATACATCGGCAACAAAAGCACTGCATTTCTGGTAGACCTGAAGTCCAGACAGCCTCTGTTCATACCCAGGGATCTGGAACTTGGTCTCTCTCAGGAATTTAACAACAGCCTCAAAAACAACTTCAACTTTCTTCTGGTACTCTTTGAGGATCAAAATGGTCTTATCTGTGACAGTTGTTAAAACATTGGATGATTTTACTGCTGCAAGGTTATCAATAGCCTTCCTGAACATCACTTTACCCTGGTTTCTAACCTGTTCAAAAGAACCCTCAAGGCTTCTAGCATGTCTGTAGATTGTGTTATATGTCCTGGTAGCAGGCTCAGACACCATTTCCATGACTGTGGGCACCTGTTTCTTCAGTCGCAGCATCATCTCATATGGCATCTCCACATTCCAGGTTGTCTGAAGGTTCAGCTTCTCAGAGTTCATCACAGACATCTTCAGACCCAGGATGTCAATGTCTCTTGTTGGCTCAGACTGTTGAAAAAGGTAAACATGAAACATAAACATATATTACTAAAATATAATAAATACATTATTTACATGAGGTCACAATCAAAGGTAAATAGTAAGCAAACAAGTAAGCAAAAGTTCTCTTACCGGGTAGCGACCATAGACTCTCGCTTTCACTTGAGCTGGGCGCTTAGTCTGCATCTGAAGTGCAATGTGTCCTGCAGATGGAGTGGACATAGAGACAACCAGGCCTTCATCTGGATTTCCAGTAATCTCCTGGTTGATTTCCATTGTCAGGTAGGGCAGATTGACCTTTGCTGAGTTGGTGATGGAGGTATCCACATTGTCATAAGTTAAGAAGATGGTGCTGTCATGGCTTCCCTCTAGGACTGAATGTTTTGCAGACAGGACAGAGGCCATTTTAAATCCATTGACTGTGTTCACATTGGTGTTGCCTTCGATCTTTCCATTCAGAAACTCAAATTCAGAGATTGATGAAGAATCCAGTCTGATGATGATGCTGTCCTGGTTAAGGATGCTGGCATCAGTTTTGAGCGTGATCATTGCTGTTTTCATGGAGAAATCATAGGTCAGATCACCCATTACAGGGATTTTGATGTTTGGGATTTTGGGCAGAGTGATTTTTGGGAAGGTGAGCTTGCTGAGAGCAGATGGAACATTGATGATTGGTTCCACATTAATGTCAATGGTGATCATCTCAGGGTTCTTCATGTACTTCAGCTTGGAGTTCATGTCAAATGTCTGCTGAGTTGTGATCAGGAAGTAGCTCAGGCCAGTGTCTTCCCACAGTGAGAAGTCTTCCACTCTTGGTGTCTTCAAACCAACAAATGGCACAGTTATCTGAGGAATGGTGATAGGTCCCTTCAGTACATCCAGATTCGCTTCTCCATTAATCTGGGAAAATATGTTAATTTCACTGTCACCATTATCTAAGGTAAAGTAATGGGAGTATTTGTACTGGTTGAATCTGGCCAAACCTGTCCAGCTAGCTTGCTGCGCTTCAGAATTCAGGGTAAAAGAAATGTCATTCTGGAGATCCATCTTTCCAGACAGGTCAAATGGAAGGGCAACTTTGGCATTTCCCTTGTTCTTGGTGTCAAACACAAGTTCACTTGGTGTGATCAAAGCAAGTGCAGAGCTTGAGAGAGTTCCCTCAACCTGTCCAACTAGCTCTGCATTGTGAGAGGCAGTGAAATCAATTTTCAAGTCTTCAGCCTTAGCCTGGAACTTCACCTCTGCAATGCTGTTCTTCATGACAGGTGTTTCTGTCTCAACCTTGGCATCAATAATTACATGGCGGAAAATGCATACATCGGCAACCACATTTTGATCCATTTTGAAGTTGCTGCTGCCTGTTGCTCCAGTGAAAGTCACTTTGGTTGTGTGGAGATCCATGACCACCTCCATGTCACTCTTGTGGGTTGCGTCATCTGAGAAGTCCTGAACTGCATATTTTCCATTAGCCAGATTGTTAATGGTCAGACGGGCATTGCCAGCCTCAAGCAGGAAAATGGTCTTTTGATTTAATGATGTTTCAGTGAAGATTTTGAGGGGTGGCATGTTGAGGTTATGTTTGTAGCCAGTCTCCACATTGGCAGAAACTCCATTTTCCGTGGAAAAGATTGCATTATTGACAAGCTCTGCAACATAGAGCTCAGTGTTGGTATTTGCAGTAGTTTCAGCAGAAGCTTCAGCTAACAGGCCACGGAGAGTCATTCTTCCCTTGTGGTCAAGTGTAAAACTTGACTGGTCAACTTTGATGTTCTCAGAGATGGACAGAGCACTCATCTCGGGTACAGCAACATTAGCACTGGCATCCACAGTGAAGTCAAGGACTTTCAAAGTTGATGTAGCCTGTGAGTTAAGGTTCATTTTGAACTCAGGTGTGACTGATGTAGTTGTGGTGTTTTCCAGGTCAGCAGTGGTCCTGAGTGTGTAATGAGGTGAGGTAACTCTGAACTCTCCGTAGAGTTTTCCAAAACAGGGAATCTTGCTAATTTCTGCTACTTTTTCTTTCAACTCCATAGTGAATGTGTCATAATCAAAAGATTTGATTTTCTGAACCATTCTCATGAAATAGTTGCTCATGTCATCAATCAGCTGTTTGAAGTCAAAGGAATACAGTTCATTCACAAGTTCTTGAACAGGCACCACAAGTCTTTTGAGCAAAGGCTGGATGTCAATTGACCTGAGAGCAGCAAAGGCAGACTGAATCTTTTCCCTCACCTGATACTGCTTCATAATTTTAACAACTTCATCCATGATGGCTCCAATCATCTTCTCAACCTCATAGCTAGATAGGATCTCCTCTACTTTGACGATAATGACATTGAACTTGTTGGCAATGTTATACTTCTTGATCCAAGCCATTATGGTGTCCTTCATTGATTTCAACTCATTCATGACTTTGTCAGTTGGGAACTTGGCTATCAGGTTGGTCACAACGTTTTCCATTGAGTTGATATACTTTCTCAAGTCTTGGACAAAGAGGTTGAAGTCAAAATTGTCAATGACCTCCTTCAGTTCTGACACTTTGTTCTGAAACGTGGCACTGATCTCATACTTGGTGTTAATGTCTTTCAGCATCTCAATGCTGTTGTCCATCAGCCTCATCACTGTGGCCTTCATGTTTTCAATAACTGCAGGCAGATGTTCAATGAAAGGGATCTGGATGAAGTGGCTGTCACTGTTCTTGTCATATTTCACAAATCCAGAGATGGCGTAATCGCTGCTGGCATCACTGAGGAGAGGGGTTGAGGCAGCTCCCATCATCTCAATACCCATTCTCTCTGCATTGTTATAGGCACTAATTTCTTGATCAAAAGTGTGCTCATTTACTTTGGATGTCATCTTCAGTGAAACACTTTGCTCTTGGAGGCTCAGCATGCTGTTGAACTTGTTCTCCATATTGGTCTTGATAGTGGGTCTGCCTTCCAGTTCATGGGTGGTTGAGGCTCTGGACTCAAATGAATGTGTGAACAACAGGGGTTCTGCTTTCAGGAGGAATTTGCTGTATAGTTCGCCGCTCTGCTGTCCATACAGGTACACTGCACCATCTGAGTTGAAAATGGCATCAATGTTCAGAGTGAAGGGGGCAGCAACAGTTTTGACTGTGCTGTCCAGGCGAAGAGATGGTGAGTTGAAGTTAGCCACATTGTTGAACTTGACGTTCAGACCAGCAATCTCCATATCAGTGGTATGTGTCATGTGTGTTCCCAGGAGTTTGCCGTTGGTATTGCACTTTGCAGAGAGGACCATGTCAACAAACTTGACTTCATAAGCGTGCTTGAGCTCTTCCTCTGAGAAGACTCCCATCATCGTTCCAGTCAGCTCCATGTTGTAGGGCTCTGCCTTGAACTGGGCATCATTCACAAAGTTAATCTCCATGATCTTCAGGTCATTTTTCACATTAACTGAAGCAATAAAACGCTCCATGTTAACTGTGATGTCATGCATGTAGGAGTTCCTATTGTCGAGGACGTTGTCAGTCTTGGAGTGGAGGGTGAAAGATCTCATTGTAAGAGACAGTGAGTGGGTGTTTTCAGTCCTCATCTCATTGAGAGATCCAACGATGTTGTTGGAGAGGATCAAGCCATCTTCATTCACTCTGAGGTTCACTCTGTTCCTGGTGTTAATGTCAAAGAGGTTACCCTTAAGGACGCTATTGAGATACACTTCTGTGCTTGCAATCTTCCCCTCAACACCGAACTCAGCTTTGTTCTCCTTAATGGCTCCCTTGGTGGTGAGAGAAATGGTGGCACCAGAGGCATCAACTCCACCATGGAAAACATTCTCAAAGGTCACTGGGCTATGCTGAGCAGTTGTGGTACAGCTGGTGGTCAGGCCATTCATGTTCAGGGCCAAAGTTGCCTTGTGAGAGGCAAGGCTTGAAAAGATGTTCAAAGAGGCATCAGCATTGATCTCCAAGCCTGAGGGATTCATGGACCCAGTGAGCAAAGAGTAGGCACGGTTCTCTGTGTCATCAGCTTGATTCTCTATCCTGAGGCTAGCCTGTCCTTCAGAGGCAGAGAACTCAATCTGGCTACGAAGCATTCTATCATCTGCCTTGGTCACAGAGTCGGATTGGGCGGTAAGCTTGACATCTTTGTAGTTAAGGCTAATTTTGGTGGTGTGCTTGATGGGGTCACTGTTGATGTTGGTGTTTGACTCAATCAGAAGTTCCTCATTTGCATATGATGCCTTGATCTTGTTTGCAATCTTCAGGATTTCAGAGTTCACTCTCAATGTACTCTCCAGTCTTGCTTCTTTCTTTGCTGGCTCAACAGAGAAGGTGTGGAGATAGGTGGTGCTAGCAGTCATTGGTCCAACAGACACACTGCCGTCTGTGTTGATATCACCAGAGAGTATGTTTGAGTCTAGGACGACCTGGGTGGTAACAGTCAGAGACGTCTCCAGACCCAGAGGGGCGACAGCGTACACGTTGTACTTTCCTGTTGACATTACATTGTCTGTGACAGCAATGGTTTCCAGCACATTAAAACCTGTGTCCAAGAGCATGTGGTTCAGGGAACCATCAATGGTGAATTTCATTGTTTTTTCTGCTGTGTCTGTGATTTTTGTAGCTCCTTAAAACAGACAAAACAGTGGAAATGTTAAATAGTGCAAACATTTGTTTTGTTTCTCTTGTGTAAAATAACAAATGTAAAATTATTCTTATTAAGTAAAATTATAAAGATTAAATTACCCTCAGTTGAGAAGGAAAGGAACTTGATTGGACTGTCAGCCTGGATGTTGAACTTGGCCAAGTAGCTAGGAGACTCTGCAGTATTGTTACCAGCAGATGCCGTTGCTTCCCAGTTATAATAGTTGCTGTTGACCTTGGCAGACACTTCCGCCATTCCCATCAGAGGCAGGGTGAGATCATATTCAGAAGGAATAGTAAAAGTGGGGATCTGGATCTCTTTTGAGGGAAACTCCATGTCTAGCTGAGGCATGGAGACGCTTGGGGTGGAAACCACTGCAGGTATCCTCAGCTCCTCAGATGATTTGCCTCCAAGTGGCATAGGGATACTGATGGTCAAACGGTCCTGGTTGAACTGGTATCTGAATGTGCTTTCACTGGCGAAATGATGAAAGCAGAACATTTGTTAAATTTAAAACAGACATTAAACAGGTGAGTAAATGTATATTTTTCACAACTTAATCAGGATAAAGCTGGGATAAATATTAGATGTTGGGTTTACTTACAGGTTCATGAAAAGGTTTTCAGGCATGGAAGGCATGGAAGGCATTTCCACATTTGTCATTCTGTTCCTCAGAGTTTCAACATAGGGAACATCAATTGAGATCTTGTCCATCCAGATATCGCTGGCCTGAAAAAAATAATAACAAATTTAGTATTCTTTAGTCTGGAAAAACTAGAACAAAGTCAAGTTCTGCTAAAATAGTTTCAATGACCATTATTTTTTTACCTCAACTGCCTTGTTGATGATATGACGCAGTTTCATGTCAGTCTTGACAACTTGCTGGTCCATGGCATCCTCCACAAACTGCCTGAGCCAGGCCTGGAGGGCTTCAGTGTAAGGCACCAGGATCTTAGTATCAGCATTCATGTTGGACATCAGCTGAACCTCAGCCTGCTCTTCGCCTGATAAACAAAGCATTTAGCACTTAGCATCTTACTTTTACATTTGAGACAGTATAAATTCTTAATCTTTGAAGTCCATTAGCACTATTTTCTTAAAAAAAACATACCATATTTGAATGTGACTGCCTGAATGGAGGAGGTCTCTGGGAGCTTGACATCACTTTTGATCTCCATGGTGAGTCCATCAGCTTTGCTCATTGTAGCGGTGACGGTAGCATCAGTCTTGAGTGAGGGGACTAACAGCTGAACCTGCAGCATGCCATCTGTCATGGCCTGAAGTCTGTGAATAATAAAAAATAACATGATCTAGTCAATGATTGTATATCAAAAAATTGCATAAAGACTGTGAAATGCGTAAATGAGTACACAGCTTTAAATAAGATATATTATATATCGACAGTGTGTTTGAACAAACTCTGGCTGGCTGGGTTGACTCACTTGGCACGGCCAATCAGAGAGAGCTGGGGCACGTTCTTGTTGGTGATCTCCAGGGTAAGGGTTTTGCCTTTGGCACTGCTGTCTGTCAGGCCAATCTTAACTCCGGCCTCAACATCAAAGTCAGGTATCTCGATTTGGGTGGTGAAAACATTCCTGTTCCTGTTGTACTTCATGGTGGCTGTAGCCTCGGTAGGCTGAGCACCTAAAGCCACACAGTTAAAAAAAGCATAAATTGATTATTTATGCATGTAACCCTATAAAATAAAAAGAAAAACTGAAATCAATGTAATTGTTTTCCAAATAAGATGCTCATACCCTCAGCTTTCAGGGCAAACTTCAAAGAATCAACCTTGTGGCGACCATCCTTTCCTTCATTGAGAAGTTCATAGGCAATGGTGGCTGTGTACTCAGAGACCTCTTCAGAAGGATGGATATCCACAGAAAACCTAAAGAAAAAGAACAAAGTTAAAGTCTCCCAGGATGTTGTACTGTGTATCTAGAAAACTACAAAAAACAAACAAACAAAACAACTCACAAGTATTTACTATATCACTTTTAAATTCTGAACAGTATTTAAGAATGTCATACCAGTACATGTACACATTTTTTTATGATAGCTCTGCAAATATGGAGGGGGAGACAAATTCTAAAATCAAAATGATGTGAATGAAATGAGTGGTGCAGTTTTGCCTATTCATACCTACTCAACCCATCTACCTTTCAACTGTCCCTTCATCATTATTCCCATCCCAACCGACAACCTCTATCTTACTGAAATATTGCACATTACACAGACGAGACACTATTAAATTTCCTTGTGACTTAAAGAATGATAATTATTCGGTATGCTGCCATCAGTGAAATTAAAATAAAATAATCACAGATCTTCAAAGAACAACTTACTCAGTCTGTCCGTTCAGGGGGAAGTAGGGAACAGCAGCATTGTCACGAGCGTTAGCACAAAGTGTTTTGGTGCAGTATTTGACTCCAGAGAAGAGAGGTCTGCAGCTTGAGTCGCCCTCTGTGTGTGGGATCATTGCTGCCTGACCCGCGCCAACAATCAGCACTTTATTGCTGTTTCAAAGGAAAAAAACAACAACAAATCAGTTTAATGACAACATGATTCAATAAAGATCACATACAATACAATATGGTGCCACATGTTGAAACACACTAAAAACCCTACTAGTGGCTACTTTGTTTCATTGCATTCATTATTATCATTAAATATATCGCATGAATGCATTTTATGTTATTTGTTACCTGATGCTGAAGAGCTTTGTGGTTCCTTGTGGGGCGGGGATGGAAAGCTTGACCTGGCTTTCCTCCATGCTGATCTTGGCATTGAGCACGCTCTCATGGTACATGTTGGTGTGCATCTCAACAGTGGACACAACAAATTCAGGGACATTGACTCCCATCTGAGTCACAAACTCAACTCCAACAGAGGGCATGAACAACAGCTCCTTCTGTGAACAAAAACAGATCACATGAAATTAAATCGGTTGCAGTCATGAAAAAAACAAAAACTATTAGACTACTACTATTTATACTCATCATTAACATTATTATTATCTTAACTTTTATTAAATCTATGCAGGACATTTTAGGAAATACCTCCATAAAATAGAAACATAAGCATAATAATAAAACTATATGATAGAGCATTGATTATGAGGTTAAGGACAAAAGATGGAAAATATACCATGTTTGGAGCCAGACGAAGGCCTCCCTTTGCGCCAGGAGTAAAGGTGCCAGACAGAGCAAATGTCAGAGGCAAGCCAGATGCTGTTGGGATGATGAATTTGTTGTCCATGAAGATGTAATGGGCAAAGATCTCATTGTTAGTGCTGGACATCAGTTCACCCATGACCTGATAAAAAGAAAACAGCCAAGTTGAATTCTCCCTCGTTGTGTTATTGAAAAGGAGTTGTAATTAGTTGGACAGGCATTATAAGAACAGATAACAGGAATGCAGAAAGGTACCTTGGTGGGAATGATCTTCATGAAGATATCTGCATACATCATTGCGTTATAAGCAAGAGACTTCAGTTCATTGCCCTTGATGTAGCCAAGCTCAGTGCCCATGATCCTCAGGTAGGCCGTGGCCTCTGGGGACTCCTGACTCTGCAGATCTTTAACCAGCTTGTTGAAGTTGCGAACAATTTCTCTGACAAGATTTTCGGGAACCTTAGGAAAAAGTTGTATTAGTTGCGGTGGTATGAGTGGAATCAACAAAATAACTCTGAGAGTGTTTAACTTTAATAATTAAACACAATATATACCTTCCGTCCTTCTGACTCTGTAGCAACCCATTTATCCAGTTCTGGTATCTTGTCTACAGCCCAGTACAGAGTCTTTGCAACAGTGTCAGGGAAGAACCCGTTCTTTCCAAACAAAGCATCAATGGTTGGCTCGAACCCCCTGCCTTCCATGCCAACCTATTGGAAAAATAGAACAGATTTAAAAACAGTGTGGGTTGTGTCTGAATATTGGCCAAACTATTCTCTTATAAATGCTGGTTAGCTTTAATTTCAGTAGCAGATAGGTAGTATCAGCCAAACAATAAAGTCAAATACACCAAATAATAATTTTAAAAATAATAAGACATACATCAATGTAGTTTTTTTTACTCTTATTAAAGTTTTTCTGCCAGTGTTTCTTATAAGTGTAAAATTACAATTTGATGCAACAATAAATTAGTGATTAATATGACCTACAGTAATACATACCTCCCAAATGTTCATGTTGAAGCCAAAGGCTTTCAGGGTAGTTTCCAGCAAGGCCTCCCTTGGCAACTGGCTACTAGGATCAAAGACAATGTTGCCCTGAATGCTGGCCTGCAAGTCCTCATGTGCCACACCAAGCTTGTAGTTGCGAGACTTTGTGGTGAAGTCGTTGTGTGTGGTGACGTCAGTGTCCTGCAGGGCATCCATGATCTTCTTACCGAGCCTAGGGTAATAATGAAATGTAAAACAATCAGCTGAGTATAAGTATATAAGTATATTGTTAAATCAGCTCAATATCGTAATGAAATAAAGCTTAAATTGTGCCGTAGATTGAGTAAGTAAGTTGCTTAATTCTTACTTTTGGGTCTCAGAATCAGTGGAGGAAATGATGTTGTAGATGTGGGAGCTCACAAAGGACTTGATCTGTGTGTTCTGCTCCTGGTTAAGCAGCTTCTTGACAATCTCAATGTCACTGTCCTGGGGATCCCTCATCAGGATCAGGTAAGCTGCCAAGCGCTTCTGCACAGCACCCTTGGGGTACTGGCAGACCCTCTGGAGGTTAGAGCGAATCTGGATAGAAAAAAAAACACTAGCTTGTTTGTCACTGTATTTCATGAAACTCCACACTACAAAACTATGAAACTAGGATACTAATCATCTATGGAGGGGAATGTTTGTTACCTCATCAGTCACAGACATGCGTCTGAAAGCCTGGATAGCGGCCAGCTGCACAGACAGTGTGGTTGCTGGCTGTCTCATGCACTTCAGCAGGGTGTTCTTTATAGCAGGGTCAGCAGCCTCCATTGCATCTCCCATGTTACCAACAACCTGGAAGGAATATTCAGTTCAATTTACTTAAATTCAATTCCATTTGAATTATTTCAGGTTTCATATGTTTTCATATAGAACCAATCTAGACCTTATTATATGTTATTATTTTGAATATTTTAACTTTGCATGATGCAATTAGAACAAACATGGGAATAAAAGTTGCCATATTTTTTTAAGCAGTCTATGTTCATAGCTGGTTACCTACCCTCAATGTCAGGAAGGTCAGATCTTTCTCCCCAGCGCAGTCTGCGCCCAGGAGAGAAGCCATAAACTCAGAGACAGCAGTGATCTCGGGGGTGACGCCTTCAACCTGGTATAGTCTAGTGACAAAGTTAGGCATTAGTGTCAACAGAAACCACCACTTACTGCTGCAGTATTATGGAGGACTTTCCTGAATATTTAAAAACGATCACATTTAAGTGTACTTACTTTCTGACTGCATTGCTCAGAGCATACATGATGGGTTTGCTCTGTCTGTACTGAGCCATTGCCAGCATGTCTTTCACCATGAGGCGGGAGGGGTTAGGTAGCAGTCCCAGGGCGTAGACAGCAGCATCGACCTCAACAGCACCTTCGTCAAAGGTTCTGAGAATCTTCATCATCGCGCTTGTGCACTCTGGGGTGCCGCACTGAGCCAGAGCTTGCCATGTCAGAGACTGGGACATGTCCATCATCTCAACTGTGGCAGATCCCAGGACATCAACCTTCAGGCCGCGCAGCTCAGACACCAGCTTGTGGAAGAGACTGGCACGCTCCTCGCCTTGAGTGGTCTGTGACAGGGTGTTCAGCTGCTGCATTGTTGCAATGGCAGCATCCTTGGTCTGCACAGGGGACTTGTTGTCAGCAACATCCATGGACAAGAACTTGCGGTTGTCTTCATCTGCACAGAATGGTATCACAAACAGTAAGAAAAGGCAGAAATGCTTGACACAAGCTTGAGTACATTTTTATATTTTACAAGCTATGTTTTAAAAGTGAAATACTCACTGCGGTCAAAGACTCTGTCGTTGATCTTGGCGGTCTCCCTCAGAGTTACAGTCTGCTTCACCATTGTAGAAATTCCATATTCATTCCTGTTTGCAAAGGACATTAGACATTTGCAACACATTCACCATAATAGGAAATAATTACTAATTACTGCTATTTTTTTATTGCAACAACCTCCATTGGTCTGTTTGTAACTTTTTGTAACAAATCCTAAAATGTGCTTCAGTTTTCAAGCAATTAAATGTTCATAATAAAGCACAAAATAATTCATACAAAACATACAAAAAATTCAAGTATTTTTCTATGTCATATACGAGTCAAGACATTCCCTAAATAATGAAACAAACCTACAATTCATATAGTATTGCGCTCTGCCCTCTGTAGAAATGGGTCACTTTAAATATATAGATAGTTAGATACTTCATTGTTTTAAAACTTACTGGTGGGAGAGGGGCAGGAAGATGTGTTTCTCTGTGCAGATTCCTCTGGTCATGTGCTTCTTCTGGTTGTCAAACTTGTAGTTGCAAGACTGGGTGCTGCTAATCATCTTAGACAGAGGGTAGTTCTGATGGTAGAAAGACAACATCAGTGTTTTGTTATATGATTATGAGGAAGAGCAGACTGCTAGAAAATAGAATAGAATAGTTAGAAAATAGTAAAACAAAATAGCACACATGAAGATGTTGATTTGTTTTCAGTTTTACACAGGCTGCTTTTTGTTCCTGTCTGATGTATATCATGGAAATATAGCTCCTTATAAATGATATTATGCTATTAAGAGGGTGTTTTTTAAAAATGTATAATAACTTTAAAGCATTTTCTATTTAGAAGTGAGTGTTATATACACAGTCTAACAAATCTGTAATGGTGACTGTGAGGTTGTTGCTTAAAGAGGCCATATTATCCTTTATGGTGCTTTCCCTGTACTTTAATGTTTGAGAAAAAGTAGTATGACAGAAGTATTGTGTGTGTTAAAGGTCTGATTAAAGTAGTCAGTGAGTCCCTAAGTCCATGCCAAAGAGAGTTACTGTCTCCCACACTGTCTCTATAGGCTAGGTGACAGTACAGTCTTGCCCACTGAAACCTAGTAAATCTGCACTGTGGGTGGTGCCTGCTCAGGGGAACTGACAAATCAGTGTGTCAGACAGAGGGTGAATAGAGGTGATGCAGCAATGGCTAGTATGATAAATACTAGCCATAAAAATAATGTATTTTGAACACTGAAGCAGGTAAACCTATTATACATATATAACAATAGGTTAGTATTATAACCCCCCAAATACAAGCATGAACCTGAAAATGAGTATAACACAACCTCTTTAATCTCTTACCATGCCGGTGATGAGGGCCAGTGGGCTGGTGTCCTGTCTGCGGGCAAAGAATGAGCTACATTTGGAAAGATCCCTGCTGACAGTCACATCAGTGGCGATGTCCTCTCTAACGTTGACGGTGAAGTCAGTGGGGCAAATTCCATGCACGGTGGACTGGAAATGATGAGAGGCATCGTCAGCATTGAGGATGTTGGAAACAATTCAAAAAAACAAGGTTGCAAGAGTTGGAGTGGTGAACATGATTTATGTCCTTTAGCAATTTCCCTGAATCGGATTATCAATTGATCTGACAGATTCCCCCCCCCATTATGAGAACAGGTGATGCCATTAGAAAGATAAACTTATCTAGGACTTTGACCTGCAGCTGAAGACACTCATGGTGAGAACATGATGTTACAGGAGTTTATCACCGTGACTGGGGCACCTTATCTACTCATTGTGCAACTTGTTTATCTTTGCATGACACAAACAGAATCAATCCCGACTTGGTGGCCTGAATTGATTAACAACTGCTGTAAATACTGACAAAACAAGGGCAGCTACCATGTATTTGTTGCTTTCCTCCTCCATTACTGGCACAATGAGAGCAGAGACGATTCCCCTCTTGACGTTCAGGATGTTGGCAGGCTCATCATCCTCAGGGTAGAGTCTGATGTGAATTTCTTCTTCAACTGTGATCTTCAAGGGGTTCCTGTTGACGTGGACAGATCATGATTTACAACTTTGCCATTTAGCCCATCCTCTACTTTCATGTCCTCAATTCCTGCTACTTTTCTGATCAGACTGAATAATACTGATATGAAAGGTGACTCACTTGGCCATGGCAGCTCTGAAAGCCTCAGCTCCATCAGCAGGACGGTACACTTGGTTCCCTTCTGCATCCACACCAGAAATCTCGCTCAGAGAGCACTCTGTTGTGCGAAGGATGAAGCTACAGGTCTGGGGCACATCAACCTCAACCTGGGCAGCAGATAAAACATCAAACATTGTTGTTAGTACTACTGTATTTATTCAGGGTCATGAGACTGTTTGCAGTAATGATCGGGGCTGTGAAACATACTTTGCAGGAGACTTTGGGTCCGCTCTTGTTGTCCGTTGCTCCAGTCACGCCATTAAGGGTCTCAGCTTCGTAGTCATACACAAACCGCCTGAAGTTCTTGAATCTTTTGGCCACTAAAAAGTATTTGAAACATCAGTTAGATCCCTGTAATGTTGATGTTTAGAACACTTACATGACAAATTCACACTTCATATACCTTTAAGTACTTTAACTGGATAGTTTGATACTCAGAAAACATAAAAAAATGATTACTGACAGGTGAGCTCATCAACACACTTATCAAATTAAAACACATCTTATAAGAGTAATTTTTAAAACAATGTTAAGATAAAAACAACTTACAAAGGCAAACAGGAGATTGTTCCTCAACACTTCCCACATCTTGCTCTGTAATGGATGAAAGACATTGTTTCCTTGAAATTTTAAAAAGCCACAAGCTGCTCTAAATCTTAACTAAGAACAATTAAATACTTTAACTAAATAAACTGAACTCATAAATTCAGTACTTAAAAATATAAATATACCACTATTAACTGTTTATTTGTTGTTGTTTTAAACTTAAAATACTGTATTGTCAGTCATTAAAAAAAAAATTTGAATAACATCACAACTAATACAACTAAAATCACAAAATGATGAATGCTTTAGTACCAAACACACTATTAAATCTTACAAAAGTTCTTCATTTGTCAAAAAACAGCATCATCTCATCACGACTCACTTTTTTCTCAAATAGACTTACATATATAATATTATACTTTTAAATTCTATTAGCTTACAATTAGCTTACAAATAAAAAAACACAATACTTACGGGCTAGCGTGTAAGTGCCCAGCAACAGCAAAAGACAGAGCTTGGTATTCTCCATGATGGGCTTAGTAAAGCCCCTGGAAGCCTTGAGGAAGGGAGAGTCTTCCTCTTTCAGTGAAGACTAATTCTTGTGCTTCGGTCCTCTGGCTTTTATAGTTCTCCAATCTTAGTGTATGTGATTACCTGGACGTGCAAATGTGTTGCCCTGGTTCCAAAGTCTGAGCAGTCCTTGTGGCAGGCCAAAGGTTATAACGTTTCACCAACTAAGACTTGTCTGTCAGCACTGAGTGGGGGTGGGTCCGTGTGATTATGTTAAAATACCTCTTCAGCTCTTGTTTTATTGTTAGGGGGTTGCTTTCCTGAGACATTAGGCTGATTGTAATTTGTTAAGGAGAAATGTACATGTTAATGTCTATCATTAAAAGAAGTCACATATATCTCATTTTTTAATCAGAGCAATGTCATATAATAGCTCGTATATCCTGAATCACTAACTTTGATTGCTTGTTTGTGCTGCTCAAAGGGCATTAGAAACTAGTGAACTAATTTAGCATTATCAGAAAGTAAGGGGAGGCTTTTTTTTAAACTCCAGTTGTGTGTGTGCCATTTTGTTTTTCATTCTAAATGTTTCACCAGTATTGCCTTCAAGTCTTGTTTGATTTTGATTATTTCAGAGGTGAGATTTTATGTTGAAAGACGTTGTTCAACCAATTCAAAAGACAGTCCTTTATATATTAAGTTTTTAAGTAAAAGGTTACAGTATCCTTTTAAACATCCACACATACATGAAGGCGTCTTACAGAACGTTAAGTGAACCTTTGCCCCAGGACTCATGAACAATATGAATCATATTGACGCAGAATTGAAACCAGTCACCTGCTGCGTTTTGTTATCAGTACTTGGTGTCTGTGATATTATATTAGATATTAGAGCATGTCTTAAAGCTCATCCATTGTTTCTTTTCTAGGTTGTTTCAGGCCATGCTGATCATCATATTTTAAATATTGTACACAAACAATATCCTATTTTATTATAGCATGATAAGCACAAATGTAACAGATAACATTAATAAATGCTGCAGGTCAGTTCCCGAGCCAAGTCACAGCGAGGCCCATTACAGCGACTATACTGTATGTTAGGCAGTGGCGGACTGAATTATGTAAAGTACATTTGCTGCAGTGCTGTACTTAATTACAGATTTAAAATATGCATACTTGAGTATATCTACTCCACTACTTCAGAGGGAAATATTTAATTTATTTATTTTTTATTTGTGACAGCTGTAGTTATAACTTTACAAATTAAAAATGAGTGGATTTGAATGTGTTTTAATGAGTCGATTCATCAATTGATTGAATCAATCAGCAACTGTTTTAATTACTGATTAATCGTTTAGGTCATTTTCATGCAAAGATGCCTGAAATGTTTTATGGTTTTAGCTTCCCAAATGTTTATTTTATTGTGTTTTGTTTATTTTTCTATTCCTAATAACTATTACAGTAAACTGAATAATTTTTGTGGTTTGGACAAAACAAGACATTCATTATATTCTAATTAAATGTACTTTGCATACTCACAGGGGCTATTTATCTGCATTAAGTAGCCTACTTTTGATACTTACAGTACATTTTCTTGATAATACTTTCATACTTCTGCTCCGCCTTCAATACAATTCAGCTTAAAGGTCCAGTGTGTAAACATTTAGGAGGCTCTATTGAGCAGAATGGAATATAATATTCCACAGGTATCGTTTTCGAATTAGTGTTAATCCCTGAATATAGGAAATGTTTTTGTTACCCTAGAATGATCTATAGATGCTTCCATGGAGTCTGCTCATCCACATCAGTTGTAATGTATTTTTACAGTGTTGTGTTGTTTTTTTATTTACTTAAATAACAATCAAAATACTTCCTCCATTACAGATTAGAAGCTACAAACATGTAGACAATAGCTCTTTCTTGAACATAGTTTAAGTGTAATTTTAGACTGCAATGACGTGTACGAAATTTAAAATGATTTTTGACATTTGTCCAGTACTCTTAAAGGTCCAGTGTTTAGCATAAAGTGGCATATATCAGTGTAATTTCAGAAACACACAAAAAACACAAAAACATTTCCTATATTCAGGTGATTATACACTAATGAAAATATAAATAATATATTCCATTTCTGCCAATAGATCCACCTAAATGTTACACATTGGACCTTTAATAGCGAAATTTTATTCTAATTTGACTAAAAACTAAATATCGAAGCTTTATCTAAGTTATATGTTCTACTTTATATCTTATTTTTCAAAAATAGGCTTCAAGTATGCTTGGCTAAATAAATGCATATGGAAAGGGTACAGTTAGTAGACTGAGAATTCAAAGAAAAGCCAGAGTCAGATTCAATCACCTGAAATTTGTTGAAAGGAGACAAACAGTACTTTGTCTACTGAACTTTGTTGATTAGAAAACTGGCGTCTCAACACTGGTGTCTTAGCATTCTTGGCTAACCTTTCACCTCCTAAGAGAATCCAGTGACGGCTGTTTGATCAGGATTGCAACACAGGTGAACTCAAGATAACTTAATTGGGAAGAAGAAGACAGTCTGACATTGCATAACAGTCTAACAGCACGGAACATAATGATTACAGTATGTAGAAAACATCTCAGTGGGGCCTGGAGCAAATGGCGATAATTAAAAGTTATATTAATGCAATAGGACAATTAAAAGAACAATTAGAAATCTGTGCCCAACTCTTCTTTTGTGGGTTGTTGTGAGAAGAATATAAAATACCCATAGATCATACTGATTTCTCTCATTACACCTTGTTCCTGCCTTATAAATCACATTTTAACTATGCAGTAAATTAATTATGAAACATGTTTTGTAAATATAGCACCATAAAACAATATTAGAGTCAATCCTGGTTAGCACAAACACTTGATTGGAACACTTTCTGTCATATCAAAACATGATCCACAAATAGGGATCATTAAAAAAACTCAGATATATTTTTGTGCCCGATGGACTCTTGAGCTCAAGTCAAAGTTCATTGTGAGAGGAGTGACAGCAATGTATAGAAATATATAACACTCAGACTTTTATTGAGTATATGAGTTGTGTAGACTGGATTAGTTTTTAGCTAGATGCACCTAACAATATGACAACTGAGTATTTGATAGAGATGAGCTCATGTTCAATGTGACTGTACGTTCACACTGCAAGCCTTAGCACTCAGTGCTCAGATCTGAATTTTGTTGCTTGGTCGTTCACAATGCTGTTTAAGTGTGGCCCATATCAGAGACCCACAAAGATGAATGTCAGTCTAAAGTGACTTTAATTTGGACCACAAATGAATGTGGCCAACATCAGAACTGAAAAGATCCATGTGGTTTGTGCTGTTCACACTGTCATTAAAACAATCACATCTGAGTCACATATGAGCAAAACAAAATTAAGATTTGGGTCACTTTGGCTCACTGCAGCCTGAACGCTGCCTTTATAGGAAAGAATTACAAACAAAATCTGGTGTCAATTTATGCAGCATCTTCCCACAAAACTGTTAACAGAGGATTATATAACACAACCTGAGAAACATAGAATACAAAAAGGAATATGATATAAAGACAACACAAAATGAGAGCAAAATCAACTAAGAAAACCTAGTAGGACTATAAGTTATTTTTAAGTTAGTAATTTTTAATTTAGGTAGCAACTTGTGGAGTATCAGGCCCTAAAAAGGCTTATACCTGTATTATAAAGGAACTGCCTAATTCGGGGCTGTAATGCTCAGTAACTGTAACTAACTTTAGCTGTTACTCCATGTGTTTTTCAGAAGTTCGTAATTATATATATGTCTGTATTGTATTTTGTGTTGTAATTAAGATGAGGAACTACATAATATGGTGCAACTTACCAGTAATGTTACTGTCACCAAGTGCTTGCTCATGGTGGGAACTGTTGGGTCTTTGTAAATAATTACATAAGGAGTACGGTTTGGACCTGCTGTATTTATGTCCTGAGATAACTTTTGTTATGAAGTGGCGCTATACAAATAAAATTGAATTGAATTGAATTGATGGTCAATGTACAGTAACTCATTACTAGTTATATTACATTAATAATATTACATTCCCATGTAACTAGTAGTGTAAATAATTAATATTTATATTAATATATATATATAATATTAATATTACAGTTACCCCTCCCAAAAATAATTAGCAACAACTTAATTTTTGTTGGCACCCCTCCTACTAATTTGAAATCTAACAATCCAATCACATCCTTGGATTTATTTTTGTAGGAGGAAGCTAGCTTGGAAAACAGAAACGCTTACATTCAGCAGCTGGAAATATTCCTATTACTTTGATTTTAACAAAAAAAACTTTTACTACAATTTTAATCATCATAAGTCAGAATTTTGGGGAGAACTGACACAATTGCCCATTTTTGTGGGGAGAACCAGAAAAGTAATATAGCTAGTAGCGTAACTATTGTTGGCAGGAAGTAATACGTAAAGTAACAGTTACTTTCTAAAAGAGTGATGAGTATGTTAGGTAACTGCCAACAGCATGATCCTCACCTGGATAAAGTACATTGCTGGACCAGGGTTGCCTTTAAGGTGTGGTTTAACACCTGTGAACTCCATCTCGAGAAACATGCAAAAATATTGAAATGGGTGGCATATGAGTCACTGACCTGCAGAGCTTCTCAGTTACCATCACGGTCTTAGATAAAGCGATGTCAGGCAGTGGGCACACCCAGATGGTAGTTACAGCCTACTGCACGTATTGCTGGGGACTGAAGGGACGGGCCTACAGTCTGTTTACCGCACATCTCTAAATGCATACAGACTGGGAGGAGAGAGATGTGCTTCAGATAGTTTCCCAGCGGTCAGAGACTATGTCAACAACGGAATCAACAGCAACACATGACAGGGCATAGGGAGTTCCAACTCATGATTGAGTCGATAGGTGTTAAACACCGGAGTAATCGAAAGGTACGAACACGACAGATTAAACACTATCCTATAAATTTCACAAATTAATCAATAAGCACTACAACACATTCGCCAAAATGGAAACCATTCTACTCTCCAGGTTAAGCGAGACACAATGGGGAGGGGGAGGTCTGCCTGGG